GTAAAAAGAAATGCATTTGTTTGCATCAGTTTGGGGTTTTTTTGCGGTTGTTGTTTTTGTTTTTGTTGTTTGCCTTTTTGCATTTTCATTACTGATACATAAGTTTTACGAAGATTTTGAATATTTCCATCTGTCTTATTTTACATTCCTCAAATTTTAACTCACACTTTATCCATTCCTTTTTTTTTCCTTTTTATTTTTTTTTTCCTGGAATCATCCCTTTCTTCTGTTTTTATTTCTAATGATCTTGATAAACTAGTTTTTCAAAATGCTTATTCTTGAATGTATTTGAGGCTTACAAGTATGGGGTATAATATGTTTTTGAAACTGAATTTTGCCACAACCTTTTTCATTAGAATATTTCCATAAGGAGATTTGCTGATTGAAGTATATATATATATATATTACTACCAGACTAGTATTTTAACCATGTACTACAGTGTTTGTGTTACTCTGCGTAGTTCTTATCCTTTTCATAATATTATTTTTCATCACCAGAATTGGAGAATACGGATGTCCAGTCTAGTTGGCGTAGGACAATGCCAAATTACAGTAGCCCTGGAAATGCACTGAAATGCCCCCAAAAGTAAGTTCTTTTGGAGAAAAGAAATGTCAGAAATTCTTACTGTTCTATGTTTATGTTAATGGTATGGAGGTTGTTGCTTAAATTAGTACTTCTAAAATGAAAATGGACATGGATTCTTGAGAGAGCTCAAACTAATCAAACCTGTAGACTTGAACATGGGGAGGCAAGTGTCTGTGGACAAAATTAGCCAGAAGCCAACATAGATGGTTAATGAAAACAAGATTGCCTAATTGAACAGCTACTCTTGTAGCTCATTTTGTGTTCATTATAGGGGGTACTTCTTCAGCCATGACTAACTACAGAGTATTTTTGACTCAGGCTGTGTACTTGAGCTGACAAGTCTTCTCAGATCCTTAACTTCTGGAAAGTTCAGTGTATTATCATTCAAATAGGCTGTCACTATTAGCGTTAACAGTTTTCTCTGGAACAAGAAAACTTCTTCCAGCGCCCTGGTTACTGGCCTATGACATCTCCTTTCCATAAAAAATATGACTTTTGAAGGTTTCTCAGGTTTCTGATCTGGGTTTTTAATTACGAGCCAATTTGATAGGCACAGAATTAAAAAGCATTAGAAGTTCTCTAATAGTTTTGCTTCATTTTATAAAATAATTTTTAAATCTTTTGCCAGAAGGTCCCATTTGGCACCACAAAATTTGCTACCTTTCTGGTCTCAAAGCCAGTAAATACTTTCACTATGCTTGAGATGATCCAACAGCTGATATAACATTTTTCTGACAATATGCAGATTAAAATTTCAAAGGAAGCCTGAATGTACTTTTAAGCTATTTGTATGGAGAACATAATCAGAAAGACAGTTCATTATTTAGCAATTAGTAATTGTTCAGAAGAAGGAAAAGGTTTTTCTTTTCTTATTGCATGCAAATGGCGAAGTTTCAGAAAGCATAGGAAATGAGAATGTCAGAGTGCTTTCTTGCAGAGCCATCTGCATTAGAATCTGTTTTTTCATTCATTAATTGTGCAACTGCACATTTGCTGATTTGTAGCTAAACGAACTGTAAAGTGGCAAGAGTCCTTAGGCCTGTGGTGTGAGATTCTTAGCCTTCTGTACTTGTAACAAACTTCCCAGGAGTGAAACTCTTTAATGACGTTGTAGCCAGTTGTGGAAAGGAAAGGACTGCCTTTATCTGGAAACTGATTATGAAAAAGACATTTCTGAAAAGAAAATGTGAACGCTTTCCTATAACTACATTGCTACACTTATTCATCAGCGTAAACCAAATTTGTTTAAAATAGACCTTAAAAAGTTACCCCTTCAGCTGAACACACATAGGAAGGCTGCAAGGAGTCCCACTGCTGTTTACGGTCAAGGTGTTCAGATATCTCGCTTCGGTGATTTGTTTGTTTCATTTTGTTCATTAAGTAGTCAGCAATTACAGTATTTTTGTGTAACTTTCTTTGTTCTAAACAATTATTTTATATAGGGTATCCAGAAAACTAAGCTACACCGATGGGAAGGACCGAAATCCTAGCAATCCCTTAGACAACGTCCTGGTCAAAACTCAGCAAGGAGCCTTTATGGCATACAGAGAAAATAACGTTGTTTTATAGTTCTTATTTGTGGTTTGTTTGTTTTCTCAAAAATCACAGATGTATCAGTACAACTTAACTATTTTAAGGAAGAAATCCTTCGTAGATAGGAATGTTACTGTAACACAGTTAATGCTGATTTATTCTTCCTTGTAACATAAATCTTCAGGAACTAACTCCAGCCTTCTTCTTACGGTGCCTTTCATGATTCTTGGGCTTTGTTAGGTGTTGCAAGGAACAAGATTTCCTTTCTAGAAATTTATTTGAATTATATATTTAGCAGTATTTATAATATTAGAATGTGATTTGTATTATCTTTTTATCTGCTGATAACTTTTATGATTCAATTTTGATTTTAATCTTGATTCTTAATCTACTAGTACTAAGACCTTAACAAACTCAGCGTCTGCTGAATTCTGTTCCATTCCTGTTGTACAAACATGTCAATACAAAATGCTTGAAATAAACTAGGTTGTTACGTTTCTCTATGTCCTATCAAAATTCTACCTGACATACTGTATATTCTCAATAAATACATGTCCTGAAGAAATACCTGCTTGTAGTGGAAATGCTGAGTCGTGGCTTGAAACAGTGATGGAGCACCTGGAAGGAAGGCAGGGCAAAGCCAGGGAAGCTCAGGTGCATGCAGTGCATCCATGTAACCAGAAGGGGTGGAACTAGGACCCACCCCTTCCCAGACCTCTTTTAGGGACTGGCAGTGGAGGAAAAGTTGTCTTATCTGGAGATCCATGTCTCCCTGAGGCCTTCTGAAGGTAAGCAGGTTTTTTTTGTTTATTTCTGTGCCCACAGCTGTTGTATTTGTGCAAGTCCTCCCTTGCTGCAGCCTGGGACCTTGCTGCAGCCTGGGACCTTGCTGCAGCCTGGGACCTTGCTGCTCTGCTGTCATTGCTGTGCTTTCTATCACATTACACTGCTTTAAAAATTTTATTTCAGGAATAAATTCTCAGGAAAGGTTTATCTATGTACAACAAATACATGAGAAAGATTTGGCAGGGTCCCAAGGGTTTTTCTTACTGTGTTTTTTCTTAGCAAGGAGACAGTTTTAGTGGCATCAGATCAAGTATGCTCTGTTTTAACTGCATTGCCCCATGTCAACTTTCCAAACTTCAGAAAAAGAGAAATTTATTTGACTGAACTTCATTGTGGGGCACGTGCTCTTTGGTTTGATTTTGATGTTGTTTTTTTTGTTTGTTTGTTTCTGCTTTTACACTGTTGCAGCACTTATAATCAAGACTTTGGTGATTTTAAATGCTGTTGAATGGAGTAAGGAAACAGCTTCAGTAAGGCCTGCACTAGCATAAGATGACAGTCTTTAGTGGGTGGTTTCTGCAATATGTATGCACACACAATGTATCTTACATCGTTCCAGCATTTTGTTTTCTTCAACAATTTAAGATTGTCTTTTAGAAATGCTTTAGTAGCTCACTTTTATTCTGGCTCCAGGTATAGATGAACATTAGGAAATATTTTATGAACTTTATGAACTACATTCTTCTTGGATTTGTTAAGGTAATTATTTCCCTTTTTTTCTTGAGAAAGTACTTAGAGAGTATGAAATTCCATGTTATTTGTTCTAAATGTAAACTGTAATTAGCTTTTTGGATGTATCTGGATATGTCTTTTGAACAGCAACAGAATACAGGCTTATCCGGGTATGAAAGCAAATTTATTTAAAGAAGAGAAATAGTTCATTCATCTATGGAAATTACTTGGAATCAGAACGTAGTTCTTGAAAAACTTTAGGTGTTGGAAGGTAACCTTATCCCATTTCCATTATTTTTTGTGTGTGTCAGCAGTGGCAAATAGGAGAGAGTTACATAATTATTTTTGGAGTCTGATCCACCAACATTCAATTTATCTGCATTCTAGAAAGTGTGATGTCACCAAGAGGCCGTCGTGATTGCTGGAGGATATCTGGCATAGACCTATGAAGATTAAATGGTGTTACTTAATACTCTGCTTTTATCTCTGTTCTTCCCTTCGAAGTCTTCTGCCACCGTATAAATGCTTTTCCAACATACTTCTAAGTGCTAAGCTTTCTGCTAGAAAGAGTTTTACATTGTTTCCCTATGTTTCAAAATATATATATAACTCTATAAAAACAGGTTTTGTTACTGAGACTACACCTAACGTCTCCTCTTCTTATTTTGTTATAATTATGAGGGTAGCTCTGAAAGTAGTACTTCCTATTTTATTATGTTAGAGCAGATGTTGGTGGTATGGCAGTATAGGTATTCTGCCAATATTATATTTTGTCACATGTCAGGTGGCAGCAGAGGGGCCACTGACAAAATGACATGTGACATGGAAGTGCATATGAAGTAAAGGCGTGTAATTGAATTCCCTCCTTGTGAAAAACATTGCTCCTGTTGACATTCATCAACTCTTACTGAATGTTTCTGGAACCAAACAGAGGATGTGAACACAGTGAGGCTGTGGGTGGTGTGTTTCAGCAGTGGTGACAGCCGCAGTTGATCACCTCCACTGGTGCAGATTTTTACGAGGGCAACATGCAGGCTCTTGTTTGTTGCTGGTGAAAATATATGGCTGATAGTGATTCCTATACCAAAAGACTTTTGTAGCTGAGAATTTGCTCTATCAAATAGCATTATTGTGCTCTTTGTGTCTGTTGTAGTTTTCATGGAAGTAAGTAGGAGACGTTATTTTGGATTGACCTATGTGTATTTATTTTATTTCAGCTCAAGACAGCTAATAGTACTACTGAGCAGCGTGATCTGCAGGGGTTTGCTTTTTCCATTTCCTCTAGAAGAGGAGTTAAGACGTAGCTTGTTTAAAGAGGCTTGTTAACTAAAATAAACATGGACCAGACTTCTTTAACTCTGACTTTTTTTTTTTTTTGTCCCCTTCATGGGTATGTTACATCTATGGACTGGCTCTTTGTACTATAGGTGGTTTGTTTTTTTAACTGACTTAGAGCTACTGTCTCCTTCAGAACCTTAGACACTGGCACTCTGAATGCCCTTCAGAATTTCAAGCTCCTTGGCACCGTGCTCTGCATGGGTGTATTTACTTGCTGTTGGGGTTTTTTTTGGTTGTTGTTTTTTTTGTTTTTTTTTTTTTTTAAGACAGAACTGTCCAAAACCTAGAGAGTAGGCATAGCACATCAACATGTGTTATTGTTTTTCTTCTGCTACTTACTGATTCCCAGAATGTGCCACATAAAAATAAATCCCCACTCTATAAAAGCTTACTGTCTGATGAGTTGAAAGTCTAAAGATGAATGTGCACATAGAATGTAAATTACGTGGGGGAAATAAGTAGTTCTTTCTACTTTTGTGAAGAAGTTTATTGACAGAGGCACTAGGAATTTAAATATAAAATAGAATATTAAAAAAATTCTCTGGCAAAGGCTGATGGTTAGAAATCATTTGCCAGTATCATTACTTATTCCTGAGTACAAAAAAAAGTCATGTTATACAAAAAAGTGTTATGTTATTAGAGGAGTGAAGATTCGAGATGTATGCTGATACTGCTCACAAAAGGAAAGTGAGGATATATAACAGGCTGTGTGAAGCCCAAGACAGCTAGTAATTAGCCTCACTCCCCACCCCGTGCCATCATGGCAGTGGCTCTTCCCACTAAGCAGTCCAAACTGGTCCTTAGCGCACCGCATCATTCAGCAGCAACCAAAACATTGGCCCAAGGCAGTTTCTTATCACTTAGTGCAGCCCAGGCAAGCTGAGAGGTTGGACACCCATGCTGTAGACTGTTCACCACAGGAAAATACACAATCTTGAATGCAGACCTATTTTTAATTGGGAAAGCATCTGAACCCTTAAGTGTGCATGTGTGAAACACCATTTCTTTCCAAAAGTACTGTTAAAACCTATGTAGAAAAGTAGTCATACTCTGTGAAAGTTCTACAGGCAACTTAGTGGATCTTCTAGGACTGTATGAGGGTTGATGGTTATTTTTAAGCAAAGGATTAATTTTTACCATGTAGAAGCTGGTATCTCTGTGTTCACAGCTCCCTTTCAAAATGTATTCAGAAGGAAAGTCCTTCTAAAAGGGCAGCATGAACCTACAGCTATGTTTTGCTTAATCCATAGATGTGTTTTGAAGATGATTTGGAATATTTTACTTAGTGGCTTCACACCATTGTTTGTAATTTAAGTTTGTCGGGATACTGTCTCTAATCATTCACTGTTCCTCCAGAATGAATAAAGCAGATCTCACTTTGATTTCATATTTGGTTCATGAAGCTACTTCAGATGTTCTCTCCATTTGTCCTATGAATCAAACCCATTAATCTTATGGGATCGTCATGAATGGCTTCTACATTTGCTGTATTTTCAGCAGCCAGTTGCTCACTGTTAAGGTAAATGCAAGCTTTGGAAGCTGTAATGGTGGATTTAGATAATCTTTCTTCTTCATCCTCTGATGGAGGGTCTTTCTTCCTCCTTGGTTTTCTGCGTTTTCCCTTGGTGCTGTGATCGAGTGAGGCGTAACACATCTGATCAACTGATTCCACCTGGAAGGAAGTTTACTTTATAATTAACATTCAGTAATGTGTTTGCTTTAAAATTATGTCTAACGCTTTGAAGACGTCTACATGGTAACCATGGTAGGGGCTGAGGTTTAACTCGAACTAGCTGTAAATTACATTATTAAAAGTACAAATGATTAAGTTATAGCAGCACAGAAAACAGACTAATGTAACTTAATGATAATTAAGTTATGTTATATCCTTACAATTGTGTAAGGCTCATATCCTTATAACTGTGGCAGAGAGGAAGCCCTCTTCCAGATATCATTTCAAAGATTCTCTGTGGGAAATAAGAGCAGTTTATGTAATCGTTCCAAGTTCTTTGAGATGCAGGGCATTGTTTGATCTGTTTTTCTTCACTCAAGTTGATTTATTAGAATCCTATAATTAGCAACAACACTTTTCAGAGACTGTGCAGAAAAAAAGTAGTAATGGGTGATTCTTTTCTGCATGTGTTATCTGATTTCCAGTGTAAAATGTATGTTTTGTGTTTCCACTGCTTCTCTGTGTTTTTCAAACCAAATCGGTGAGCACTATTGGCACTGGAATTTTCATAGATGATTCGGTTTCTGTGAAGTTTATGAAAACAAATCTTTAAATAAAAAGGGAGAGACTGGGAATAATTCCTCCAGAATTGATGTTAGGAATGCTTCAATTATAGAGAGATTTCAATTGAAATTTGTATGCTTTTAGGTTTTCAAGTAACAACGAAAGGCAAATCAATAGAAAATCGGTTGTCTTTAACAAGTTAAGGAATATAGATTTTTATACTGGGCAGGAGAGAATCAGTCAAATTTGTTATTATCAAGTGATGCATCTGTAATCGAGCCTGATTTGCATGCTTGTGACTGAGCATTATTATGCCACATGGATGGAAGTGATCTGTTTGTAATCTTTCTCCTCCTTTACTAATGACCCAGATTGAACAAAAATTCAAATATGTTTAAATTCCCTGATAAACTGAGACACTGAGGAATGAAGTATGGTAATTTTTGTGATGTGCAGCAGGAATATTTTTGATACTTATTATCATGGAATAAATGCAAGAATTCTGTGACAAACCACATCATTCTGATCCAGGAATCCAAAATTAAAAGTAAAGATACCTGTAGTTCGTTAACTGGCCTTTGAGGCTGGGACTTCATCTGCTCGTAACAACATTCCTCTGTAATTTACCAAAGCAGAAAAGTATTTCCATTACTAAGACACGCTACTCAGAATTAAAAGATCCAATTAACAAATCCTCTGTTGCAGAAGTACCCCCTCACCCCCACCAGTTTACTACATTAGAATTTTTACTTGTTTGTAGTGACACAGATATTGCTTCTGTATTCCTCTGCTTATAGAGAGGCAATTAACTAAGAAATTCTGACACAGACACTGAAGCAAAAAATATTCTGTCCGTGTGGGTGGATGGGAAGTTTCTCATTCCCTAACTGGATGTTATTTGGAGCTGCTAGAACATCATCAATTAAGAGTAACTTGACATAGCTATATATTTGTCAGTACAAGCAACTTTTCATCTTCAGAGCTATGCAGAGGCTAGTAGACTTTGAGTGACATACCGTCGACTTGTCTATATCCAGCTGCAGTTATATGTTTTTACTGTCTCTAATATGGTATGGATTGCTGCTGCAGAAGATTCTTCACTTTGGCCCAGTGAAGCAGTCTGCCCACTCTCCAGCCACCGTGGGCTGTGCTTCAGCATTTCTGTTAACATCTTTCATTTGTGAATGGACAGCACTGAGAGCAGGTACATGCTACGTTCTGCTAGCTTGTCTGGGGGCACTGACTTTGGGCAGAAGGCAGTTTGTGTCTTAGACTGCTTGGAAGCGTGTGTGCTAAGTGTGTTATTTAAATGGGTGCAGCTTTACATATAGAAAAGCTGTTGATTTTGAAGTATTTGACTGAACAGTACTGTTTGGGTTGTTTAAAAAGTCAAATTCTATGACCTCATCTTACAAATAGTGCAGTGGTAATTCGATGTAGGCCCTAAGTAGATATGAGTGAAGTATTTTTAAAAAGGCAAAGATTCTCAAGGCTGCTGAGAAACACAGGAATGTGTTGGCCAGTCTGCTTTTAATTCTGCATTTCTTACAGGCACTGAACAGACAAGGGTTCTTAAAATGAAACTTACCTAAAATATCTTGACTGAGATTGCCATAAACTGGGTCATCTTCTGTGTAACAGTCATTATAGCTAGAATAGGGATAGAAAGATAATTTTAAATTGTTTCATAAACTTTATTTAGGATCCCACTATTTTACTCTTAGCATTTTACATACACATAGCAGAAAACTGTATGTGACCTAAAAATCAAGGAGATGGTAACACCAGCTTAACAGAAGGAGAAGAAAGGACTTCTCATATTCTAAACTAAAACTGAACTGAAATTGGACTAAAATTCTTATGTCGATGCACCTAAACAAGATCAAAGCAAAGTTCGACTTTGAGTATTTAATGGCATTCTGTATTTTGCTACCTGGTGTTGTTTGAAAATGTTTTCAAACATTTTTGTGGAAGTGAGGATTGTTAGAGAGGTTCACTGTCTGATCCTGCTGCATCCCTATCCTGTGCCTTGTCGAGGATAAAGTAATGAAATATGCTACTTTATTTCAGTGTTATTTCCCACCTGAGCAGGCAATAACAAACAAAGCACAGGGGCTTCCCAGTTTCCAGGGAGTATGTTAATGAGGATTGATTTTGGAGGAAAGGCAGCAGTTTTTGTGGTTTTGATTCAAGGACCTGATATATTTGAGTTGAGATGGAATTCCTTCCGTCTCTGTTTTCCACAAGAACTTTAATATGGAGTAAATTCAACAAACTTGGTGACAGATGGGGGAGCTGTCCAGCAGCTGGAATCAATGCAATGTTTCAAATCAATGTAAATACAAATTTATTGTTCCACAAGAATGAAATAACAGATCATAATTCCTCATTGTTTTCTGAATGTTCTTTACTATAGATTCATTGATTCCAAGCAGTAAATAGTGCCTTAACACAATATATCATGCTTCTTTCAGTATTTAAGGTTACCATATTGGCATGCAGTTTTTTATTCTTGATGAAATGCCTCGAGGGCATCTTTTACATGAAAATTTTTCTCCTGCCTTTTCTCTCTTTTTTTTTTTTTTTTTTTTAAACAATCATTCTGCTCTCCAGTATCTCTAGGCAGGCCACATAAGATATTGGAGGGGTGGCACAGAGGAAAATTCAAAAACATCTATCATCATTTATTGCTTATTTTACTTTTCTCGGAAAAGGATTACTTATACAGCTTACCTTTGAGTGTTGTCTTCATTGTCTTTATACATTTTAGCTGTGGAAAAAAAAAAAAAATTAAGTGAAAAGATAATGAAATGTGCTCCTTAAGAACAATTCAGATAATTTTCTTAATTGACATGCTTTTGACTTTACTGTAGAGAGTGAAATTGAAAGCTGTGGCATCTAAGCACTTTCAGTTGTCCCATTTCACTCAATTACTTTTGAATAATAATTTAAAAAGCTGCTTGTGTTATGTTTCTGTGCTGTGCTATGGACTCTGTGTTAGTTTACAAGAAGGTCTTCAATCTCTATTTTGTTAAGCATCATCAAATACAGTCCCTTCTCCCAGAAGTGTACTGTAACACATGGGATTCATTTCTTGTTCCCTCCTCTTTCTGCTTCTAACTCTTCTTTTTTTTTTTTTTTTCCTCTGCCAAGGGAGGTACATCATGTGTTTATATTAGAAAATGAAAGGTTCGTTTGTTTTACTGGCAGTTCAGAGTTGCTCCTGTCTCTGAAGGAGAGAGATCTGCAGATGAAGAAACTGAGGCAGAAAGATTTATTGCTAGAACTTGATTAATAAATCAGGAAAGCATGACTTTCTATCTTGTTCTCCAGAACTCCAGAATTTGCCATGGTAAAACTCTGATACCATGAATACTGTAGCATCAGCCAATCTGACTGCAACCTTGCTCAAGGTTAGTTTTGTAAATGGCTGTGATTTTTCATCACATAAATATCTGCCTAGTAACACTAAAAGACAAAACACAAAAAGGCAGTGCCCTCCTCCCTCTCCCAGAACACTCCAGGATCTCTTTTAATAGCCTGTCAGCTATTCATCGTGAATTCTGCTTATAGGTATAAGCCTCCTGCTTACCTAGATTATCTATGCATGTGAATATGTTTCAAGTGGTTCAGTCTACCTGTGTTTGCCTGCCCATCCATATACACGCAGCACAAGGAGCAGATTTCCCAGTGTAAAGTCACTTTTCCTGAATGGGAATGGTGAGAACTACCAGCTGATTGGTAGTACTGCCTTAGGCAGCGATGTGAAAAATCTTAGTTAATTTTAACAAAAACAGAGCATGACTGTAGTCATCCTCTAACATAAACAAAACAAATTAGTTCCATAAACTAAACAAATTACTATTATTACTGACACATTGGATTAAGCGCTAGAATCCCATGATGAAAAGCAATTCAATTTTTTTTTTTTCCAAATAAAGTGAGTACAAAACTGTTATGATATCTGAAATTCAAATAAGCTTTTAGGAATTTGAAGAGGATACGGTTTTCTTGAATGTATTTTGTATTACTACAGCTACTCAAAATCATTTTTAAATTAAAGTACATATGTTAAATCAGTTGCATCAAAAAATATTCTATAAAAGGGGAGTTATTCATCTTAAAAATACACTTTTAAAAATAAAACATTAGCCAGAAATAAATTCTTCACCTATACACGTGCTGTTGGTTTATCTTCAGAGGATGAATTTAGGTATCCGCTTTTAGTAGTGGGCTAGGCAGCTAGTGATCATCCTATAATGTTATCTGACTCTCCTAAATAATTGAACACTTTCATCCTCACAACTAGAATCACTCTAGTCAAAAGATAACTGAAAGATTCAAAAAAGTAGTTTGTTGGTTTGACACCTGTCAAAATCAATAGCATTCTCTGCAGATATTTTTAAGTTCTTAAATTCAATCCCTTACGGAGACAATCTTGCTTACCTTCTTGTTTCTTTTTCATATAGTGTGAAATATTCAGTATCAATGAAAAAATGAGAGCCAAACTTAGAAAGGCCAAAACTCCCCAGACAGAAAAATGGCAGTCCATTCCTGTAACTGAAAGAAAATTGTTTTACAATACGTGTCATCTAAAAATCATGCTGTATTTTTTGTGCCTTGTTGATTTTTTTTCCTTCCTTTAATTCAAGCTTCTATATATTTTTTTTTTCAGGTTACAAGAACTATAGCTGCAAGAATAAAACAATTACTTAGCTGCTAAGTAATAAAAAAAAAAAATCTGTAAATTTTAACGGAGATGCTGTTTCACAGCAAATTGAAGATTGAGATATTGGTTTGCCTGTAAAATGCAGTAAAAATCAGAAATTGACATAGAAAAAAAAACTCATTTTAATGAATAGCTTTGAAACTTTTCTAGTTTTCAGTAAGTTTTTGCTAAATTAGAGTTTCTGAATGAAATTCAGAAAATGAATTCAGATAGAACTTCACTGGGAATTTCTCTCTGTGCAACAGATTTCAAAGATTGGTTGTGTGTTTTCTTGCCTCTCCTATTAAAGCCACTTATCTTTACTCATATCCTTGCTCTCCTTCCTGAGAAAGCAAATGATGTAGTAGCTTAGGATGAGCAGAAACTGGGAGCTGGACACCCCATGGACAACTGCAGAGAAAACTCTGAACAGCTACTGAAGTACCTATACCAGGTTGTTCTGTTTCATTGAAGAAAGGCTCCCCTTGCGCTAAAACTGCCTCTTGCTGAAGTCCTGTTACAAACACAAAAAGGAACCCATGCTCAGTAAATCTTATCTATCTAATTCATCAGTTAATGTAGCTCATATGAATTTTCCATCACAAAGCTTTCTGATGACAATAGACTAATTGTCATGGTCTGATGACCAAAATGATCAGCACTGCTGCAAATGGCCTGTAAAACCTTTCCCTGACAGCAGACGTACTAGCCAAGTGAAGTGGTGAAACGAGCATGAATCTAAACTCTTCACATTTCCTAGAGGCATGTTTCACGTTCTTCTAGATTTGGAATACTTAAGATAAATTCTGGACTTAATACATAATGAATTCCACTAACAGTGCACAAAAAAAAAAGTATAGCAGAAGCAGAGCAGTCAATGGGAGAGGTTAGATGATACCGTCAGAGTGAGATTCAAGCATGTCCGTAGTATTCCCATCTATTTTTGATGTAGCTGGATTCCATTAGGGGCTTAAGTTTTTATATGCTTCTTAAAGGAAAGCTGATGTAAAGGAGTATGTGTTCCCATGTTGTAGGCAAGGACAGTGTATAGGTTCTGCTGAAAATAGAAGGGATTGCTCTTTGGCTCACTGGCTACACCTCACCTTAGGAAGTGTTCTTTTTTTTGTTTCCTAATTAAGCTAGTGTTGCAGAAGATCTTTTAGTTTTGTTTTAATCCAATCCACAGTTCTTCTTACAACAATGAAGTAAGGTAAATAATCCAATGTGGTGAAAAATCATGAGTTGCGTTGGCTAAGGTGCAGCTTTTCTTCCTGCTCAGAACTCTTCTTAAAAGAACAAAACAAAACAAATAAGCTGTACCTTTCTGACAGATTGGCAGCTTTTCTTCATATGATCCTTCCAGTGGTCGTTTACCCTTCCTTTTAAACTAAATATTCAATTTTCCCTTGTTTCTTTTCTCCTACTGTAGTTCTCTCAAAGGAACTTGAGGGCTCTCCATGACTGCAGTAACACTTTTCCTGTTGAAAAAGACTTTATTGCAGTGAGATACAGACATTTAAGATGAGACAACACTGCACTGAAGCAGCTACATATTCCCATTTTCCAGAGGAAGAATTAAAAGGGATGTCTCACCTTGAGAAGATGTTATTACCTCAGAAACAACCACTGCTTCAAACCTATTTACACTAGGTCTACAAAATTTGCATTCTATGCAACCTGCCCAAAACTTCCGGTAGTCTATGTCAACACCAGGATCCTTATGGCTGGTGCAGTGCCTAAATATTAAGTTGCATTTCTTCCTTCTCCTTCCCTTCTGTCTTTTGTGACGCGATTGTCTTTCATTTTTTCTTATGCTCATTTCTTATTGCTTTTCCTAATAATCATTGTTCAGTGAGCAAAAGCAAGACTGTGGCCTGAGAGATTCCCTTCTCATGTATCTATGATAGAAACTACTACCCTGTGATTCATTAGAATAAAAAGAGGAAATAGATCCCTAACATAGAGCTTGGACCTGAGTTCTCAACTTCTTGATGACGGATTGATGGTTGAACTAGATGACTTTAGTGATCTTTTCCAATGTTGATAGATTCTATGATCCTTGGTATTGAAGGCTATACTTCATTTCTCTGTTTCAGGAATTCTGTTTTTCCCTGGTGTTTTCAGAATAGGAGAATTCTTAATTGAAGTGGACAAGGGAATCAAATTTTAGAGAAGAAGCAGGGTGTTTTTCACAGTTTAACTTCTGAGTTAAATTGGAATTACTGACTGGAAAAAAAAAAAATAAAGGCTGGCAAAATGTTATTTCTCTAGGATTTCAAAGTATTAAAGCAAAACAAAAGGCCTGAAATCTGAATTTCTAATAAAACGTACCAATTCTTTTAAATTTACAAACTATAGCTTTCTAATATTTAGTTTAGAAAAATACTTGGGTTTGGGGAGAGATAGAAACAAAAGTATAATTTATTTCTAGCTGAACATCACTTAGATTATCTTAAAATTAATTTCCCAAAATTCTGATTCCATCTGCTTGTATTTCACTACAATGGATACTAACACATAAGTGACTTAAGTGTCTTCTCTTTGAATCTTTTTCTATCTTGCAATATGATCTATTTGTTTGCCAGAACACTACTTCAGAAACAAAATCAGTTCTCAGTTACCCATGAAAGCATACCCATGAAAGCCTTGATCTCTCCCACAAGAATGCCCGTCTGTGTGCTTTTCCAATGTCAGTTTGAAGTTAATTTTACTTTCCAAATAATAAATACAAGAGATTTTTTCTTTTATACCTTAGCTTTATGCATATACAACCCTCAGCTCTTGTCCAACTGCTCTTTTACTACCTTTATATTTGTTACTAGTATACTGGCTATTTACAATTGCATTATTTAAATATTTTGACAGCAGCAATAGAGGGAAAATTTGTGTGAGGAACAGTTTGTGTCCTTAGATAACTGTGCTTCTGTCTCTATATGTTATGATAGTGGATGCAGTCTGTGGCAGCAACTCGTGCTGAAGACAAAAAGACAACCCAAGTATGGTAGAAGAACTAGAAATAAAGAAGAGAAAGAGAAGTTTAATTGTAGCTTAGCCTATTCTGAAATAGTTTTATTCCATTATCTAATTTTAATTTGAATTAAACTATTGTCAAATAAAAATAAAAGATGTGTTGTTTTTAAATTGCACATGTATTCTAAAGAACACTTAGAACAGTGTTCAGGAATTTTTCACTTGAATTGTACAAAAAATTTTTTTTTGTATTTTTGTGGGGAAAACAATCCTAAGAATTGAACTTATGGAATACTACACTATGAATAGTACAATATGATTTTAATAGGGATAAGTTCAGTTTCTGTGAGAGTTTCCTATGGTAGGCTTAGTCTGTCTGAGATAGGAAAGAGCAGTAGTCTTTTTTTTTTCCCCAGAAGAAATTGTACTGAATCTGTTCTTAAAGGAATGTGCTCCACCAAGGAAGATAAGAGTGCATTGGATAGGCAAAGATTTCATGAGGACAATTCTGGCTTTAATTCAGGAGAGGATGGGATGGGGGGGGGAGGAGGGAGGGCTGGGCATACTACATTTAATCTTCACAAAGACATCAGTAATTTGAATACCTAATACAAGAACCTCTACATTCTGGAAACGTTCTTTTTCTGCTGTACTTTCATTTCTAGTACAGAAATAGGGTCAAACTTGGAGGTGTATCAGGTAGCCCTTCTGCGTTAAGTAATTCACTCTATTTAACTTTCAAGTAAATTTTTATTTTTGGGGTTTTTGAGTGGGGTTACTCACATCCTCTCAGTATATGGTACGCTGCTTTAAGCAATTGATACTGTATTCAGTTAGGAACAGAAAAAGCCTTTCCAAGTATGTTGTTAATTGTAGTTTAATTTTTAGATCTTTTGGCTGCTTTTTCCACCAACAGATAGAAGAAGTGGAAATAAATAAGCATTTGTTGGCTTGTTTTTAGGTTGTTTGTTTGTTTACAGAGTTTATTCTGCTGCAATTAGAGTGGGGATTAAAGGCAAAAAAGAAAAAGTTTACCCTCAGCGAGTTATCTGATGATACTGAGCTGAGCTGTGCAGTTGACCCAAGAGAAGGAAGAGGTGTTATCCAGCGGGACCCGGACGGGCTTGAAAAGTGGGCCCATAAGAATCTAATGAGATTTGACACAGCCATTGCAGCTGAGCTCGGGCAATACCAGGCAGACTGGGAGAAGAACCTGGGGGGTCCTGGTGCATGAATAGCTGGACTTGAGCCAGCAGTGAGCACTTTAAGCCTAGAAGGCCAACTGTATCCTGGGCTGCATCAAAAGAAGAGTGGCCAGCAGAGTGAGGGAAGCAATTGTGCCCCTCTGCTCTGCCCTCGTGAGGCCTCAGCTGGAGTAGTGTGTCCAGGTCTGGGTTTCCCAGTACAGGAAGGATGTGGAGCTGTTGCAGCAGATCCAGAGTAGGACCATGAGGATGATCAGAGGGCTTGAGCACCTCTCTTAGGAAGAAAGGCTGAGGGACCTGGGCTTGTTTGGCTTGGAGAAGAGAAGGCTCCAGGAGAATCTCGTTGCAGCCTTCTGGTCCTTGGAAGGTGAAGATTGAGTTTTTCCCTGAGCAGGCACTGATAGGGCAAATGGGAATGATTTTAAACTAGAAGGAGGTTTAGATTAGATATTATGAGGAAATTTTTCACGCATAATATAATGAGGCACTGACAGGCTGCCCAGAGAAACTATGAATGCCCCTTCCCTGTGGAGGCATTCAAGACCAGGTTTGATGGGGCTCTGGGCAGCCTGAGCTGGTGGGTGGCAACCCTGCATGGCTGGGAGTTGGAACTGGATGAGGTTTAAGGTCCTTTCCAACCCAAGCCAATGGTTCTATGACAAACACCAAAAACAAAAACACTCTAATCTTTCTAGGATTAATTTCTGCAATTCTGCAGTTATTGCAACTTGAAAGAATGAGCATGATCATCCTTTCCTAATCATGTACTTACATTTTAGTGAAAGGAACTAGATTCTACAATTTGGGGCTAGAAATAAGTATTTATTTTCCTAACAGTATATGAATATGTAGCAGAAAATACTAAGCTCTGTTCTGTCATTTTCTAATGTACTTTATTTAGGGAATTCATCAGAAAGGAACATACAATTTTTCTACTACGCTTTCCTACTGAAGAGAAACAAGAGATAGGGAATATAGATAATTGTCAAGCAGGAGCTGCTTAACAACATGCATCTATAGTATCAGTTCATAAACCTGCTTGTGTGATCACTATGAAGTTTTAGAAGATAAGCAGGAGCACAAAGTGGTTTGTTTCTCCTTGTTTCTTTCTGTAAAGCTTTCAACAATAAGACAAAATTAATTTTTCCTCCCTACAATTAATGATGAGATAAATAATATTCTGTACTAATGACCTCTTCTAAAAAGAAACCTATTAAGAGTCTGATGAATGTTAAATTAACATTAATAATGCTTCCATCTGTGTGAGCTTTTAAGACAGGATTAATTCACCGGAAAGGATTCCTTAAGCTGCAATTAATTAGTGCACAACTAATTGCTTTATAAGATATCAACTTCGTACTTCAGAAGGGAAAAAGCACCATAAAGTAAGAAATCCTCAGTTTAGTAAATGTTTTAGGCACAAAAATGATGCCAATACTTAGTCTTCATCAACAAGCCTTTGTGCTTTTGTCCACTTTGCTGAAGATTAACGAAGGTTTAAGCAATTGATTGTGACTTGTCCTCACCATTATGCTTATTACTAATAATTTGACTTCAGATTACTGGACTGGTAGTCAACCACAGTAAGTTTCTACCATTCCGTTGTTTCCAAATGTATAGTACTAAAAGTACAAGACTTACCTGGTTACGTTGCTTCTAGGAATGCCCCGCACCTCTTTGTCCAACAGGAAATCAATTTATATTATGTTGGTAGACCTTGGATGCTGTTTTATATCAGACTTAGCAGCACAAATCTATCTCCGGAGTTGCCGTCAATCTCAAAGGGCTCTAGTCTTCTCTTCACCGGCTTTCTTACAAACAGGAAATGTAGCTCAGGCTTTTACAACTTCACTAGCAAACTGACAGTCTCCTTGATCATACGATTCTGAGAGGGAATAAAATATTTATATGTACGCTTGCACTTAATATCCACCCATCTTGCCACAGAAGAGTATGTATAGGATTATTTGTTCAATTCATACGATACAAGCCTACTTTTGTAGAACCCATACTGTCAGGCATCTTGTTTTGCTTTTATGTTGAATTTCACGAAAGTATTTGGATGCCTGTTAAAGTAAATTACAGAAATATTTTCCATAGGAATGCTATTTGACTCTTTCTACCTTGAGGTGTCTAAGCCAAGTCTGGAAAGTCTTTTTCTGAGAGAGCCTACAGTTTTGCAAAACATAAAAAGATGCAGTGGCATGATGTAGAAATTATACCATCGACAGCTTTTCTCCCACTGTTCTTTCAAGTCTATGAATCTGGGCCCATGATCAAAAATAAGTTGTGGATAGAGAGAGTAAATAGCATGTAGCTTACCATGAATGTTTGTTTTTAAATTTAACAAAACGTGCCTGTGTTTGGCTAGAGAAGCCATTTTATTCTCAGAATTGCAGTTGCTTCTTCCAGAGGAAGCCAGCTTGTACAGAACTGTTTAAGAGACTTTCTTTTAAATTCTGAGAGTTTGTGTGGTTTTGGTTTTTGCCTTTTTTTTTTTTTTTTTTTAAGAGCAGTTGATTTTATTTCCAATTATGCATAATGTAGAAGTGGGAAGTGTTGCTTAAGAAAAAAGGTGAATCACCTGTCTATGTTTATCTTTTTAGAATATGTGCATTTAAACTGTCCTTAGTATAATCTAAGGAACAATGCAAGACCATCCTCTTAGGAAAAGGCTCTTACAGGAGGAAACGTCCTTGGCAGTATGTGTTTATTTGGGATATTATTACTTTTAGATATTATTTTTATATTAACTGCCTTAGATTAATGCTTAAGAAATAGATTACTGGTTTAACATAGTATGCAGGTGCAAGTTAGTCTTAATATGATATACTATTTCATTTGAGTCCAAAGGCAAGAACAGCTCTTAACTACTCAGAGCTTTATCAGAATGAAGCACACTGATGATGTGAAATTATTCTAGAAATAATGAGCATTATTTTTGAGGTTGTAATTATCTTGATGAAAAATTGCATGAAAAATGACATTTTAAACTGGTCGTAGCTTTGGTGTTTACTAGCTACTACACTACTCAAATATGGGTAGCATCAAAATTAAAGATAGATATTATGTCAGTATTAAATGAAAAAGCATATGTACCTCACATTTCATTGAAAAATGGGATTTAGTATGAGAGCTCCTCTCAATAAGTGATGCATGCTATGATCTGTAGTCTAAACTGAAGTTTTCAACATAGAAAAGATCCGTTTCTGTGAAATGCTAATTGCAACTGATATGTTTGAAAGTAAAAGGTTTGTCATGAGCTTCGGGACTCAACCATTTTTAACAGCTGGATTTAACAGTTCCATGTGGTAGGCTCAGTTGAAGAGAAGAGTCCCGAAGCCACATGATGAGAGTATGAACCTCAAAATGAGGTCTCTAGGGAAGGAAAAGGAGGATCTTGAATTGAGCGAGAAGATGGAGAATAGATAGTGGGGAAATACATATTGTGTTAATTGAGACACATACTTAGTTTCTCAGCCAAGAGCGTGAGGAGTAAATCTGAGATCTGCAGAGGATTCATAATGAATTGCTTATTAGCCTGAACAAGAAGATTATAAGGAATAAATTCCTTTGGAGATAATTATGGATATAATGGATAGGTGAATAGTGAGAATGCAGCAGAGGATTTCTGTAGGCCTGGAGTAGCACGTTAAAAAAAAAAATCTGTTCTCTAAGAGCAAATCATTGCTTCTGCGGCCAAAGATGCTGCTGAACAACAAAGTCTTTTGGATTAGGCATGAGTTTGATAAGCTCTTCTGGGCAGCCTGCAAGTCCTCTTCAATAGCAAGAAACGTTTCACTGCAAGCTCTGAAATCTATAGTGAATATTTCTTCTTAATTCTCTTTCCTGTCTGTTACAGCTGCGCTAAGTTAAAAACCAGCAACCTCCTTAAAATGCTGTTATTCAGGACAGTAAAGGCAAGGACAAATTGTGCCTAATTTTAGAAAGGCATAACAAAGCAGTGCTGCTCTATTGGCATGTACTGCATACAAAGCTGTTTCCTCTGGTTTTGAAGTCCCTGAGCTAAGCTGCTGGGTGCATATTCTGAAGAGCTATATTTTACTGCTGCACTACTTATGTGGTTGTTGGCAAACATGCTGCTGGTGTCTCCAAGATATGAATAGTGTCAAATGGACTTTTGATTTGGTTGGGAATGGTTCTTGTTACATAAGTTCTCCAAAAGGGTAAACAGTACTATTAAATATCTATGTGCATAGGTATGTATGAAGGAGTAAGTCTGTGCTCAGTTGGACTCAGATTAACAGTACAGTTTGGCAGAGGACTTGGATGGTCACATGAAGCTGACTGAGAGATCACTTGACAAAATAAAAAAGAGCTTATGAAGTATTTTCTTGGCTGTTTCAGGGAAAGGAAGCAGAAGAATCCTAAAGCAGGTATGAAAGGCAACTTAATGTTTAGAAGGGAGAAGATGGATCTTAAATTGATTCTTATCTGTGTCTTTCTAAGCTTGATATTAGTGATATTGATATTGATGTTAGGAATAAAACAAACAAAAAATAGAGTAAGTAGTATGTTACATATCTGTACTTTTTTTTTCTTGAAAATCTGCTGTGCTATTTACAGAATGGAATGGTTATTGGTTCTGGTAGTTCTTTTCTGTTAAGTACTCGTGTTCTAGGTAATGGTAGCTTGCACTTACCATGAAGTTCTTTTCAACTTGTATGATCTGCATCCGTGGCACATATGGAATTGAAAGGTTTCTGTACATTTTTGAGGAGGAAGATAAGTGGCAGCAGCTAACCATGTGGTGGTAGACATCTATGATGGCTGCTCTGAAAAGCAATGGCTCCTTTGTTATTATCTTGCCCCACAAAATCAGGGACAGATGTTGGAGGTGTGGTACGACTATTCCCTTAAATGTTGTTGCTGTGTGACAGATGGCAGCAGAGGGGCAGTCTGACAGAATGGCGTCTGACATGGGAGTGCGTATGAAGCAAAGGTGTGTCACTGAATTCTTCCATGTGGTAAAAACGGCACCCATTGACATTCATCAGTGCTTGCTGAATGTTTCTGGAGACCAAACAATGGATGTGATAACAGTGAGGCGATGGGTGATGCGTTTCAGCAGAGACGACAGCAATGTGAAAGACAAGACACATCCTAGACAGCCATGCACAGCTGTCACACCACAAAATGAAGCGCATCGTCTATCAGCTCATCCATACAAATCAGCCAGTGGTGACTATGTTGAAAAATACGTTTTCGTAGCTGACAATTTGTTCTATCAAACAGTGTTATTGTGCTCTTTGTACCCGTTGTAGTTTCCTGGAAATAAATAGAACGTATTTCAGAGTGACCTTCATATATCCACTTTCTATGATGAGCTATCTGGCCACTGCTACAGGACATGGAGCTGAGACAGTGGCTGATTAAGGAAAAATTGCTAAGACCCAGAGGAGGTCAGCTGTCTTGCAGAAGCAAGACTATTACTGAAACTTAAATGTTTGAAGTGTTTTTCTGGTTCTGGATGTCCTCTAGCAGGTTGGAACTTTTACTGTGGCTGCAATCCATAACAGCTTCCTGCACTCTCTTACAAGCCTGGAATTTTCTGTGTGTGACTGAAAATCTCTAGGAAGAAGTGTTTTCAGCCTTACTGACTTGAAAGTCCTTTAGGAGTTTGCACTTCCCTTTTCCTTTTTGTCAAGAAATCAAAAAGCCCTCCTTATTTTCAAGTGGGAAAGTCTTTGCTATCCCCAATTCTGATGACTGCCCTATCTGTTTCATAGAAAATGAGTACTAAAACAGAATATAACATTTTTCAAATGTAGTTGGAGAGGCAGTTGGCGCAGGGTTCTGATACATTTGACTTCATATATTCACGTCTCTTATTTACTTATGAACTTGTTTAGTTCAGTACATTTTTGTGATGTATTCATGCTGTCAGCAAGTGATACTTTTTGAAGGCCTCAGAATGCACATTTATTCTAACTTGCTGAAAGTGAAATAAATTGCACAACTGACAATAGAATCAGGCCTCACATGCTTACTTTCTCTATCACTACTCAAATTACAGGCTTTCTTTTAAAAACGTGTTGTGGTTTAATCCAGCAGGTAGCTCAGCACCACACAGTCGTTAGCTCATCTCCTCCCAGTGGCATGAACTCATGGGTTGAGATAAAAATTATTTAATAAGACAGAAAAGGAAGAGGAAAAAATATAATAGTGATAATACATACATATATATACCCAACATGTGTATATATACAAAACAGGTGGTGTGCTAGTGATTGCTCACCATCAACTGACTGATGCCCAGCCATTCCCAAATAGCAGCTATTTACCTCTTCAGCTCCCTGCTGTTTTTCAAGTTTCTCCACATGATGTCACGTAGTATGAAATATCCCTCTGGCCAATTTAAGTCAGCTCTCCTAGCTCTGTCCCCTCCCAGCTCCCTGTGCCCCCCAGACCCCTTGCTGGCAGGACAGTATGAAGAACAGAGGAACTGGAAAGTCCTTGGCTCTACTTAACAACAACTAAAACATCAGTGTGTTATCAGCAGTGTTTTTCTCCTATAGCCAAAACATAGCATCATACCAGACACTGTGAAGGGAAAAAACAAAAACTCTGTCCTGAGACAAAGTTGGAACAAAATGATGTCATTTTTTGGTGGTAAGTGGTGTCGTGGAAAACCCCTCTGCAAAGAGTGAAAGACACTGGTTGTAGTAAAAGTCTTGAAAAATGTAGATAAAGGTCATTTACATCTTGTAGGCTTCTGTTTGAAGTGGGGCTACCATAAATCATCTCTGATTTTCTAGGGAAAGCAAATAACTATAGCAGAAATGCTTTGAGGGGAGCTCATGCTAAAGTGTCGTCTACGTTGTCTCTAATCTCATGAACACATCAAGGAAGTAGAACCATTCTTTAAACCTTAATGTGTAGCTCTTTGCTTAGATTGCAGGTGCAGACCTGGTGCACCACCAGTTGTAACCAGAAATGAGCAGAAAAGCTGGCATAAAGCTGCTGCCAGAAAGGAGAGAGAGGCCTTTCAAGCCAACTTCAAATGCTGCAAAGTGATTCTGACTAATACAGTG